ACTGCTGTATCCTGAGTAGTTTCTGATCCTGAATTGTACCCTGTTAACTTCCCTAATAAGGAGCTCTGGTAGAGTAGTGGTTATGAGTTAGCAGTTTGAAACTACCAGCTGTTCCATGGGAAAAAGATGAGGCTTTCTAATCCCGTAAAGATTTACAGTCTAGAAAACCCTATACAGGTCGCTATGAGTCGGAACCGACTCCACAGCACACTACCACCACCACCACCAACTTCCCTAATGAACTCCATGATCGTGAGTATAGTCTGTGAGTTCTATGCAGTCACTGCAATGGGTTATGAAACCCAATAGACAAGTAGAGTGCTGTGGGATGGATGGTTGGTGCCAGAATCTTTTAAAGAAGGTTGGAGGGGAAAGGCATGTCTGACTTCTGCCTCCTCAAAATCAGTCTTGGGTTGATGTGGAGTTTGACTCTTCTTCTTCCTTGTGTAATCAGAGGTGGTCACACACTGCCTGCCCAGCATTTTTGCACTGGACAACTGGGACCTCCTAAAAACTGAACACTTAATGCACATCAAAAGACTTCTCCAAAAGTATAAAACCGAAACCCATAGATTGGGGGAAAAAATTGACAGCGATGTATATGACAAAGGACTTATCTCTAAAATGTAGAGAAAACTTCAATACTGCAACAGCAAAAAAACAAAACACAAAAGACTCCAATTACAAATGGGCAGAAGACATGAACAGATGACATTTAGGCGGTTAACAAACATATAACGAAATGTTTGTGTTCATTGGCCATTTTATCCCAGTGCTGCTAAGTCAATTTCAACTCACAATAACTTTATAGGACAAAGAAGAACTAATAGTTTCCAAGACTGTAAATTTTACGGAAGCAGACTGCCTCATCATTTCCCTTCAAGAGTGGTTGGTGGGTTCAAACCACAGCCAATTATTTTACCCACTGCACCACCAGAGCTCCAAACAACAGTGAGGTATCACTCACCCTAGCAATAAAAGTTCAAAGAGACAGAAAACAGCAAATGCTAGCAAAGAAGCCTGGAGACTGAAACTCTCAAATATTGCTGGTGGGCTATAAAATGGTACAACCACTATGAAAAATAGTATGGCATATTCTTAAGAAGTTAGAAATATGAGGGAGCTACAAAAAAAAAAAGGTAGAAAAACGGAGTTAAAAGATACAGGAGTTTTTCCATGAACTTTTTGAAGTTCTCATAGAAATGCCGTCTAATCCAGCAATCCCGCTACTAGGTACATATTCTACAAAAATAAGAGCGATGACACAAATAGATGTGTGAGGAAATCTTACTAAATTCATGGAAGCATGCAATTAAAAGATAATGGAATTTTTCATAATTTTTGTTAAGCTCTTCATATTCACATCCATGTTCATTGAGCATTAGTCATAATAGCAAAAAGATGAAGACAATCTAAGTGACCATCAATGGGTGAATGGATGAATAAATCATGGTACATAAACACAATGGAATACTATGCAATGTTGAAGAATAACTGGCAAGTCTGCAAAACAACTCATAACATGGATGAACCTAGAGGACATTATGCTGAGTAAAATAAGGCAGTCACAAAAGGACACAGGTTTTATGAGATTGTTCTTAAAAAGAATTGAGAAAAGAGTTACACATAGAAAGAAACTGTCTTTGATGGTTACCAGGGATGGGAGGGGAAAATCACTAACTAGAGCTATGTTAAGTACCACTGAGTCAGTTCCGACTGATAATGACCCTGTATAGGGTTTCTGAGAACCAGTTGGTGAGTTTGAACCACCAGCCTTGTGGTTCAAACCAATCTTGTGGTCCAGTGTTTATCTTACAGCACCACTTCAGTAGACATGTTATTAGTGTAGATGAAAGGAAAGGTGATATAAATAAGGAGGAAGTCAGCACAAAATGATCAAAGAGCACAGAATTCTCTGGGGAAGGGTTAGAGAAATGGAGACAATGCCCTCAGAAGTGTATAGATCTAGATGGAGGATATGGACCTAAGTGAAGAAGAGTTTCACATTTTGATATTTTGTTCAATAAAGGAAGGTATCTATGATTTTTCACTAATGCTTTTTCACTTATCCTTCTACATAAATTTGGCAGAGGATATTTCTACATACATAGTTGTATATGCTGTAAATTTATCCAGGTATAGAGTAGAGCATTTTTTTGTTGTTGCTAAGTGACATCGAGTTGGTTCTGACTCATAGCGACCCTGTACAGGGTTTCCAAATACTAGCTGGTGAGTCTGAACCACCGACCTTGGGGTCGAGTGCTTATCCTACAGTGCCATGCCAGGACAGGGGGCAAAGTTATAAAAACTTAGTTATAACCAAACACTTTGAGGGAATGAATCCCTAAGTTTGGGGGTTCAGAACTGCAGTCTTGGGGGACATCTAGGTTAAATGGAATAACAACATAGTTCACAAAGACAATGTTCTACATCTACTGTGGTGAGCAACAACTGGAGACCTATAGTAAGTGGCCATCTAAGATGCAACTATTGGTCTTTCCCCCTCTAGAGTAACAAAGAATGAAGATAACCAAGACTCAAGGAAACAATTAGTCCTAAGAACTACTGGACCACAAGAACCAGAGCCCCCACTACCTGGAGACCAGAAGAAGTAGAGGGTTATCACTTCCTTCCAAGAAGTTTCTACACAGAGTGAGATAAAAAAGTAGACCAAAACTCAAAACTATGAGACCAGACTTACTGATCTAACAAAGACTATGGCCCTTATATAGCCTTCAAAACTGTGGCCCTTAGGCACCTTTAGACCTGGATCTGAACACATCCCCAGAGATCACTTTTTAGCAAAACAACAGCTAGGCTATAAAATGAACAATAACATTCATGAGGAACATGCTCCCCTCCCCCCAACCCCGCCCCCAAAATTCAACCATATGTAACCAAAAGGGCAGCATTTGCTTCAAAACAAAGCTTACAAGGCAAAAAAGGGCCAAAAAGAAGAAAGGATATGAGGAAGCCTAGGGAAGAATATTGTTATATTGAGAAAATTGCAACTAAATGATACATAACAAACTGTTTATAAATTCCTGAATGGAAAACTAATTTGCTCTATAAACTTTCACCCAAACCACAATTTTTTTTAAATTACTTTTTGTTTGTTTGTTTAAAGAAAGATGGTTAGTCGGGTTTTAATTCCACAGTTTCTGACCTTTACTTCCAAGATTTCATGTCAGGCAGGGGAGTAATTTAAAAAAAAAAAAAAAGGCTAAAGTAAGGTTTGCAGAAGCTCTCCTTAGAGATGAATTTTCAAACCTGGCAAAAGAAGAATACTTCCATGTCATGTCCAATTGTTTTAGTGTAATATAGTCCAAAAGCCCAGAGGACAGATGAGACATCTGTGCCTTCGCACCAACTCTGACCATCTCCATCTACCTGACCCCTCTGAGGTGTGGCTTCCAAATCACAAAACAGGGAATAACATCTCCCTCAGGGAGCTGTGTGTTCACTTAGTGCCTGGAAACCAGTTTGCTCACTGTTGTTGTTGTTGCATGCCTTGGAGTCACAGTGACCCCAGGTGACAGAAGAATTGCCCCATGGGATTTCCAACACTGTAAACTTTATAGGGAGTTATGGTGTGGTGCTGTATGATAAGCACTGGACTTTTGAACTGCAAGGTCTTGGTTCAAACCCATCAGCCGCTCCTCGGAAACCGTATACAGGGTCACTATGAGTGGGAACTGACTCCATGGCCTCTTAACACCAACAACCTTTACAGAGGATTCCTGGTGGTATAGTGGGCTACATGTTGGGCTGCTAACTGCAAGGTTAGCAGTTTGAATCCACCTGCCCTTCCGAGGTAGAAAGATGAGGCTTCCTGCTCCCATAAAGATTGATAGCCTCAGAAACCCTACACAGGGTAGCTATGAGTCACACAACCACAACAGAACACAACCACAATTAGTCTTTATGGAGGTATCCTGGTGTGGCGCTGTAGAATAAGCACTGAATTGCTAATGGCAAGGTGAGTGATTCAAATCCACCAGCTGTTCCTTGGTTGGTGATATGCCCAGGAGTCAGTTCTGACTCATCGCGACCCTGTATAGGGTTTCCGAGTCAATAAATATTTAAAGATGTGGGTTTTGTGTTCGACTGCTAGCCACAAAGTCAGCTGTTCAAACTCACCAGTCACCCAGTGGAAAAAAAGATTTAGTCTTTTTTTGCTATGAGCCAGAAAGGGCTCCCTGGATTGGTTTGGTACTCTGCAGGGATCAACCACACATTGCACATCTCACTTCTGGGTGCATGCTAGCATTTCTTCTCCCCAATACCAAACACTGGCTCTTCCTGTGTCCCCAGTCCTAGAGGGGTACATCTATAAAAACCAGACAAGAATCAATGCATTGCTTTGATAAAGCTAGAGGGTGTCTGGTTGAACTAAAGGGTGCAGAAAAGTCCAAAAACTTTCTGGAAGAATGCATTGCAAGCAGAGTTTTGAAAGTAGGGGGCTACCTGGATTAGAGGAAAACTCAATGTTAAGATTGGTGGTGGTTATGTGCCGTGGAGTTGGTTCCGACTCATAGCGACCCTGTACAGGGTTTCCGAGACTGTAAATCTTTACTGAAGCAGAAAGTCTCGTCTTTCTTCCGCGGTATTTTTGAACTGCTGACATTGCGGTTTGCAACCAATACGCTACCAAAGCTCATTAATGTTAAGATTGTTGCTGTTAAGTACCGCGAAGTCGGTTCTGATTCATACAGGAGCAGAAAACGTCATCTTTCTCCTGCGGAGGACAGCTGGTAGTTTCGAACTACCAACCTTGAGGTTAGCAGCCTGATGGTAACCACTACGCTACCAGAGATTAGAGAATCTATTTTCTCTCTTGATGCTCCAGATCTGTTGCTCAGATTTACCAGGTGAAGCAAAGTGTTGGAGGTTTCTAGGCACCCTATTCTTATCACCCTGAAAACATGCCTCCACCCACTCGTATGTGGCAAGAATTTTCCGTGGCAAGTCCCACTATAGTACTAGCGTGGGGCACTCACGCAGAGAACTCGTAGGCCAAGTTGACCAGGATGCAGTCCGACAAGCTGAGGTTCAGGACATCACACATGCCACGGATCTCGTCGATGAAGGGCTGCGGCAGAAAGCCCGTCAGTTCCCCTAAAATCTTTCCAATCAACACGTGGACCCACTCGGGGACGTGCTCCCTAGAAATGAAAACCCATGAGAATATTTTATCTACTTTGAAATCGAAGGGGGGTGGGGTGCGTGTGTGTTTGGCAGAGCTGTTGTTGTTGTTATGTGCCATGGGACCTAAATGTTCACCATTAGAGGTCAGAAGTGAGTGCTAAACGCCTCCCGTTTCCCCCCAGCTCAGGTTTCGCACCACCGAATCCACAGGGTCTAGGAGGTAAATCGAGGGTGCATGGACCCAATGGGTGGGTTTGAGAGGCCCTCTAGGCTAGCAGGGTGGGATTGAGCTGCGTCCCCTACCCGGTAGCGAAGCAACCAGGGAAGCCACCTCCCATCCCCCCTGATCCGAAACAGCTCAAGACGGGCGTGCCACTGGTGACACCTAATCTGAAAGCAAAACAAGATTTGCCAGATTATCCTCAACCCGAGAGCTGCCCAGAGTCTGGTCCCCATCGCGGCTTCACACCCCAAAGGCCGGTTGGCTGGCTGGCTGTGTGCCGTAGAGTCGGTTCCGACTCATAGCGACCACGTACAGGGTTTCCGAGGCTGTAAATCTTTACCAGAGCAGAACGCCTCATTTTTCTCCCGCGGAACAGCTGGTAGTTTCGAACTGCTGACCTTGTGGTTCGCAGCCCGATTCGTAACCACTACGCTACCAGAGCTCCTTATAGGCCGGTTAAAGAAGCCGAAAAAAGGGCACGGTTTAAAATACATTCGGCAGTGCCCTTCTGTGCTTTCTCGCATCCTAACTTGGACCACTTGTGCCCAGTAGCCCCGTCCGGTGCATAGTAGTCCCGTCCCGCGCCCCGCGCTCACTCGATGATTCGCATCACCGCGGCGCGCAGGAAGCCCGGGTCGTAGTGCCGCAACACCGGCAGCCAACGCAACTCCGGGGCCGTGTCCAGGGTCACATTGAAGCGTGGCGGAGCCGAAGGAGAAGAGGGGCTCGCGGAGTACCCCGGTTTCCCGACCAGCAGCAGCAGCAGCCACAGCGCCAGCAAAGGGCGCGCCTTCTGGCCTGCAGCTCGCATGGCTCGGGATCTGCGGCCACAACTTGGACCCAAGTAGCAGCGGCAGGCGACCAGGAAAGTGGAGGAGGCGGAACCAAGGCGGTGCAGGGAGGGTGGAGCCCATGTGCGTCCCGCCCACGCCGGTCACCTCCTCCCACTGTCCCGCCACACACTCCCGCAATGGGGAGACGGGACGCGGTCCCAGCCGCGTATCTTCGCTTCCAGTTTCTGTACCTCCACTTCTCCCATCGGTTTCTCTTTCTGGATGGACACCTCCGACCTCCGGATAGCAAATGCCTGCTCTCCACACTCCCCGCCCTAACCTCCTTCTCAACCCCGTGGGCCGAGTGAGTGTAAACTGCGGCCTGGAGAGGTTTGAAGAAAATGATTTCTCAGTACCGAAAAGATACCATGGAAGATTTATTGTGATAGGAAGAGACCAGAATAAAATCCAACTCGATTCCTCTTCCTCTGGGTCGTTGTTGTTAAGTGCCTTGGTTCGGTTCCAACTCATAGCGACCCTGTATAACCAATCCTGTATAGGGTATCCGAAAAGCAGTTCGTGGGTTTGAACCGCTGACCTTGAAGTTAGCAGTCTAGTGCTTATCCTAGATTTCAAAAGGTACAGAAGAGCTTTTCAGCTCAACATTCCCACCCATTTATTTCAGTTAAAAATTAAATTTCTTTTTCTAAAAAAAACTACCACTTAATGCCAAATAATACCAATTATTTTTGTCAACATAATCTCATTTACCCTTCAAATGAAAAAAGTGAGGTTTGAAAAGGTTAATTTGCCCGAGGCCACACCCCTGTTGAGTCTCTGAGTTTGCCTTCTAGACTGACTTTCTTAATCCAAACATCTATCATAATCACTGGCATGAGACTTCATCATCTACTTTTGTTTTCCCAATACCTTCAAGGCAGAAAGCGCTTAAGGCAGAGGAAAATCAACTGAGTCTATAAGGCTGGCACATTCTTAATGGCTAGCACAGTCACCTGCCGGTAAAATGGAGGTAATCTGGAAAATTCATTTCTTGTGGGAGTTTTTCCTGTCAAATAGAATACACCACCACCGTCTCTGTTTAGTTCCCACTTTCATGGCCCATATGCCACTGGGTCAAAGTTCCAAGCCTCTGTTCTGGCTCATTCAGTTCTCTAGGTCAAGATTCTAGTCTTAATACCCAAATCTGAAAGCTTGGGTAACAGTAGAAGTTGCCTGCTTAAGTCGTAGGCACATGGAGAGAAACACCAAGGAGGCAAAAATATGAGTTGGGTTTAAAGAGGTTCAAGTGCATTTTTAAGGGGGAAGTGGGATAAGGGTAGAAAAGTGATTTCCAACAACTTCAAACTAAACCAAACCCACTGGTGATTCTGATGCACAGTGTCCGGCCTTATAAGGCAGAGTAGAACTGCCTAATAGGGTTTCCAAGACTATATAATCTTTGTGGAAGCACACCACCACATCTTTCTCCTGTGGAGTAGCTAGCAGTTTCAAACTGTCAACTTTTCTGTTAGCAGACAAGTGCCTTAACCACTGCACTACCAGGGCTGCTTAATCACTTCAATACTGATATTAAAAAGATAAAATTCAAAACAAATAAAAGATTCTAAAAACACATATGAAAAATATATTTTTTCAGAGTATTTTTTCCGGAGACCATCTTCATTAGCAACAAGTCAGTGGACACTAGCAAAAAAGGAAGAGACAGTTGAGAGAGAACTGTACTTTCTCTGTACTTCAATCCCCCAACCACACCACCAATAGTAACATAGAGCAGCAAATTCAATAAAGAACAACAATCAGTATCTATCGAGACCGCACTAGGTACTCACCAGGCATATTTCATTTTCCCAATAACACTATCATCCTTATTTTACAGAGGAGGAAACTGAGACATAGAGTGGTTAAATAACTTATTCAAAACCACAGTTACAGGTGGTACAGCTGGGGTTTGAACCAGCCAAGGCTCAGACCCTTAACCGCAATGCCACACTGGACATCCACTGTTTACTGAATGAGGGAGTTAATCCATATTGTGGAAATCTATGTTGTTGCTGCTATTAAGTGCCTTTGAGTCGGTTTCAATTCATAGTGACCGTGTATAGGGTTTCCAAGGAGCGGCTGGTGAGCTTGAACTGTAAACATTGCAGTTCAAACCGACTTTGTAGTCCAGTTCATTAACCCTCAGTACTACACCAATCTATACTCTGATAAAATAAGCACAATTCACAATTATACTGAGCTAAATACTGGTGTGGCACTATGGGATAAGCACTGACCTGTAAACTATAAGATCAACAGTTCAAACCACCAGCTGCTCCTTGGAAACCCTATACAAGGTCACTATGAGTTGGAACCCACTCAACGGCACTTAACAACAACAAATGTAATCCTATATAATCTAGTTCTCTACTAGTAAAAGATTACGCATGTTCAATGGCTGGGTGATTAGAAGAAGAAAAAAGAGGGGAAAAAAGAGTAATCTGATACAATTTGATGAACTTGACCTACACCTATGGATGCAGGAGCTCAAAAGAGGGAACAAATCTTTACAGCAAGGATCATTCCCACCTCCTGGATACACAGGGTAGACAGGGATGGGCAACTTAAACACTGGCTACCTACAATGTGGTGGGGCCCACAAAGGCAAAAGGTGACTGACTGGCTTACAAGCTTTCAAGAGGGAGCCTAGATCCAGGTCATGGAGGAAGGTAGAATCTCCACTGAGTAGTATCCAATCTGTCTGGGCGGGGCTGATGAAAGGAGATGGGGATGGCACTCATATGGCACATTGTTGTTGTTGTCAGGTGCCATTGAGTTGGAACCGACTCACAGCGGCCCCATGCACAACAGAAC